CCTTTAAAGCCCTAAATGGCTTGGGCCCAAGCTATCTCCAGGACCGCCTCCTTCTGTGCAATCCACCCAGTGCACTCAGCCCCTCTGGGAGGAATTTGCTGCAGCCTATAAAAACTAGACTGTCTGCAACAGCCCTGGGGGCTTTTTCAGCAACTGCTCCCAGATTATGGAATGGCCTGCCGGATGAGATCTGTCTTATTACCACCTTGAACAGCTTCAAAAAGGCTGTTAAGATGGTTCTCTTCCAGCAGGCCTTTCCTGAATAGATATCCTGGCCCCAAGAGTTAACTCATCCTTCTCTCCCAATTTCTGCCACAGCTACTGTGCTGTTATTTGATGTTTTGTGATTTATTTTAAGTGTGTCTTAAACTCTTCTATCATTTAATACTATTTTAAGGGATGGGTGGGTTTGTGGGATTTATATTGCATTTTTATTGTATTTTAATGCTGTAAGCCACCCCAGTTGTGTCCGCAGAGGGGCAGGATAAAAATAAATTATTATTATTATTAATTAGCTTACACATTGTAAACTGCTTAGGGAGTGCTAAAGTGCACTGATACAGGGTATAGAAATGTACTTGCTATTGCTATAAGGATTCCTGTATGGGAGGTCATGCTACTCCAGTTGTCCTGGGACCAGTCCAGTTAGAGTTTAACAGATCAACTCTAGAACCATTGTTAGCACTAGAGAGGCCTCTCCTCTTTTGATATCAGAGTTGCAATACAATACAGGTTAAATGGCTCTTCTATGACCCTGATGTGGACACCATTACTATAATTCTTCTGTCACATGTAGGCTAGCACTAGAAGTCGCTTGGGCTCTGTTTTTCCAGACTCCCTGGTGGAGGGGAGAAATGCCAATAATGAGCTGATGCCAAAGAGTCAACAACTCAGGTATCCCTGTGTGCTAATCCTTCTTGCCTTAGAAATGTGCACCCATCACCCACGTTCACACCACAATGTTACCACCTTGGAAAACCAACTTCAAAGTGATCCAAACCCATTTCAAAGAAGGCACTACCATTTGGCCTTTTTCAATACCTTGAATCTTGCCCCAGGGTTGAAATTCACTATAAATATTGGTGCTCTTCCTTTGTTTCCTTGGCTTAGTCTAGTAATAGGAAGACATGCTGCCAGTTTTATTCAGCTAGCTCCTCTTTCATTCACCAATCTCTGTTTGCCTTGGGAGCAATTGAGTTTCCTTCTCATCTCTGGACCTGTAACAAGAGGAGCAGCTATCCATTCAGGTGTAGTATCTCCATTAGTCTGGCCTTCTCTGTTCCAACATAACATCTTTGAATTTCTTACCGTAGTTCTTGTGAGAGTGCGTGGTTGTGTGTTTTTATATGATTGTTGATTTCCCTTTTTAAAATAGAACTCATTATTTGTTTAGGACCCTGCCTCTGAGATTCTTTGTATCTCTGGGTCCTAAGGATACATAACTCCCCCAGGAAGGATGACCTCCACTATAGCATAGAATTGTATTAGTAGATGTAATTGAAATTTTAATTTTTATTGTTTTTTTATGGTATATGTAATTTTAATGTTTAAATTTTATTGTAACTTTGTTATGCTTTACTGCTATGTTTTAACTTTGCTGTTTTATCATTTTTGCTGTACTCCCACCTCGATCCATTGGGAGAGGCGGGATATATATATATATATATATATATATATATATATTATAACTCAGTCAGTAGACACCACTACCTTGAGCTAATTTTATTTCCCCCAAATCTCAAGGGTTACACCATGAATTGAACATGGAAAATTAATAGTTGACTGGTGAGAACATATTGGCACCAATATTATATATTTTGTGTTTTCAGAAAAGAATGTTGACTCCATATTTTGAATTGGTTGCACTTTTATTTGGCCAACAAATGCTTACTGTAAGTTGACCTTTCCCAATTTAACACTCTCCAGATTTGTTGGATCACAACTTCCACCATCCACAGCATTGGTAATACAGCTGTTTGGGGGAGGCTGCTGTAAGTTGTATGTCTCGTCTTCTAATCTACTGTTAAAATATCTTTTGTTTTTCCACAGTTCTAAATTCAGCAGATTAAACTCAGCCATGTAGGCTCATTTTTGAACAAGGCTCAGGAATTTTTTAATTGTTTTATAAAAGGAAAACAGTTCATTCAGACTTAGATAGATCAGATGCTACTTTTGTCCTTCTCTTTATTTCCCCCAATAGAATTTATTTATTTGTTTGCTTGCTGCCTGCATCATCAAGTCATTTTAATAAGGATGGGTAATATGGGAGCACACTCCCCCTCCTCACGAATACACAGTAAGAATGTGGCATTTTACTGAAATCCTTATTACATGTTTACCGAATTTATTTCCCTTCAGAGACCTTTTACTTTCTCTCGCCCCCACTTCTCTTTCGCAGTAGCCTGCAAATGAAGTTTGAAAATGAAATAACAATAACACCAAGTTAGTTTTCTCATAAAAACCTAGCTGAACAATTGTTATGCTGATGGAGCTGAACAAACAAATGTTACAGATGCTGCCATAAAATTGCATCTTGGCATCATTGCCCACTGCTGGAGAAAAAGTCAATGTCCTAGAAATGTATACCTAATGAGCAAATGGTGCTTTCATAAATAAAACCAGGATCCACAGTTTCCTTTTTGCTATATTGCAACATCTTTCTGTGGTTTTTTTTTATCCTGTTGTTCCTGCAGTGTGAAGGACTCTCCTCATGTGGTTAATTCAAGTTTAGCTTCACTATAATCTGGTAAGGGAGGTTACCATGATCCAAGGACACCCAGTAAACATTAATTGCTTTGGACCAAAGCAGATCAGTCATTAGTCACAACTGTCCCTCGTTTGCCTCTTGTTTATTTAATAACAGCTGTTGAGGCAATTGCCACTATAACCAGTGCAGATGCTCTAAAATGGGCGTAATACTCTCTTGTACCTGTGCTTTCCTGAACATGCCAGCTCCTAAGTTCTGGACCATTTGAAATTCCAAAGATGCTTGAAAGGCAGTCCTATATACAATGCATATCAATAGTCCATTCATGATAAAAACAGTGCACTTTGGCTACAGGTCTGGCCTCCCCAAAACTGGCCTCCTAAAATGGTATCATTGTACTAGCTAAAGCTAGACAAAGGCCTTCATAACCACAGCTGCTGTCTGGGCATCCCGCAATAAGGCTATGTTCAAGGAGATCCAGGAGGGGAGGCAAAATGAGAATAAATGACTTAGATGATAGAATAGAACACATTCTTATCAAATTTTTGGATTCTTAGCAAATTCTTATCAAATTTTCAGATATCGTTGCCAGCATAGCCAATAGTGAGGAATGGTGGGAGTTGTAGGCCAACAATATTGGAAAGGTCAAATGATTCCCACCCTTGCTCTATAATTTTGAAAGATAGGTAACTCAAGATGTGTATTTTTAACCAAATTCGCAATAGAGATCTCCTTATATAGTGATCATTAAAGTCACTATTTACTTTTACCTTGTCATAAAATAGGTACCCATGCTAACCATATCTTAGACCCATTTGTTCAAATTCTAATTGTCTTCCATTTTCTAATTTTATCCAATCTAGAACTCATTCCATTGTGCATGCATAATAGTAGATTTTCAAATTTGGCAGTGCTAATCCTCCCCTATCTATTTCATCAAGTAGTAATTTAAACTTCACCCTGGGTTTCTTCCCAGACCATAGAAATTTAGAACCCTTGTTCTATAATTTTGAAAGATAGGTAACTCAAGATGTGTATTAGCCACAACTTGATTTTGGCAAGAGCTACCTGCTGATGATAAAACTCAGTTTGCAGGTACTTGGCCCAGAAGTTCAATACAGCTGGTTCTTTATTTTGAAAGTGTAGTCTAACATTTTGTGTGTGTCTGTGTGTGGAGGGGGCATCCTGTGTTGGCAGAAGCCAGTACTTTGGTTCTGTAATTTCAGGGAACTGGATTTTGTACTTAATAGCTCTGAGACTTAAGGAGTTGTTCAGTTTCAAATGTACTGTCACTTTGTTAAACGAGTTGCGTAATCATGATATATATGTTTGTTTAGTCAGATTTTGCAGACTATTGGAATGTCTTAAATAGTGATTTGTGCTTTCTTCTCCCGTCACTAAATGAAAAATAAAATGTAACAGGTGATTTACATCAGCAACTCCGTCTATATTTACCTGGGATTAGGGACAGAATAAGCTGTCTTTTTTGTATTCTATAATATTCACATTTTTTTCAAGCACAAGTGTGCTTTAATTTATTTATAGCATAATATTGCTGCCAAAGGCAGTTTTGTTTCTGTGTCAGTGTATACAATTCTTTTAAAAGTCAGCAACAAAAATTTGTGCTTATTTTTGCATGCAGTGTCCTCTGATCTACACAGTTTTGCAAGCACTTCCCTGTAATATATACTTTTTATATGCCATTTTTCTATCATGTACACATCTGTTATGCTATTTTCCATAACATATGCATTTTTAAGTTGGAGAACTGCACTGTAAAACTTAGGAAAGTGCAAAAACTGAAGCATAACTGTGTTGTACTTCAGGATGAGCAAATGATGCTGATATTAAAATTCTAATATATAAAATTAATTTTGCTTCCATCTCTACTTGGAATTAAGCTCCATTGAACTCAATAGAATTTCTGAGTAATGTACAGGATTGTATGACAAATGAAGTAAATAAATAAATACTCTCAATCTTTTGAATTCCATAGCCAAACAATAGCAGGTTATCTATGTTTCTTCATGCCACTATTTCAGAAGTCAATATTTTGCATTTTTAAAAATTATTTTATGTTGTTTAATATATGATTTTAAAATGGCAATATTTTATTTGTATTTTGATTTTATTACTATGTTTTCAGCTAATTGCATTTTATTATATGTGAGCTGCCTTGAGTCCCACAGTGGGAGAAACAGGGCGTATCAATGGAATAAATAAATTTAAAAATAACTTTCATATTTATTCTTTTTAATAATATTTCTGCTGAGGTGTTTTTTTTAAATAGAGAGCCAGTGTAGTATAGTGATTTGGGCATTGGCCTATGACCCTGGAGACCAGGGTTCAATTCCCTGCTCAGCTGTGGAAATCCACTGAGTGATCTAGGGTGAGTCATACACTCTCAGCCCCAGAAAACCCCACAATAGGTTGATTCACCTTAGGGTCTCTATAAGTAAAAAATGACTTGAAGGCACACAACAAGAGTAGAAAGTGCAGACAGGCTTACTGTTGAAAACAAAAATAATGACCACAGAGAAGTTACACACATTCAAACTTGACAATGAGGAAATAGAAATAGTAAAAGAGTTTTCATATCTGGGATCAAACATTGATCGGAACGGGGACTGCAGCCAGGAAATCAGAAGAAGATTAAGAATGGGGAGGGTGGTTATGAAGGAACTAGAAAAGATAATAAAATGCAAAGACTTACAATTCAGCACAAAAGTCAGAATCATACAAGCTATCATATTCCCTATTACCACGTATGGATGTGAGAGCTGTACAGTCAAAAAAGAAGATAGGAGGAAAATCAATGCATTTGAAAGAATGTGGTGCTGGAGAAGAGTGATGAAGATTCCATGGATAGCCAAAAGGACAAACAAATGGGTCCTAGAACAGATCAAGCCAGAGATATTCCTAGAAGCCAAGATGACAAGACTTAGAATGTCATACTTTGGACACATCATGAGAAAGCATGAATCTTTGGAAAAGACAATAATGTTAGGAAAGGTGGAGAGAAGTAGAAAGAGAGGAAGGCCACATGCTAGATTGTTGGACTTTATTAAAGAGACCACAAATAAAGAGTTTGGAGGAGCTGGGCAGAGCAGTAGAAGACAGGGGGCCTGGAGATGTCTCATCCATAGGGTCACCATGGGTCAAGACCAACATGAAGGCAGTTAACAACAACAACAACAAGACCAGAAAGTAGAGGGCACTGATGATTCTGGCAGAAGCAGAAAGGATGTAATCAAAGTCCACCATGGATTCCTGGCTATTATTTTAGTTTTATGTGCTTCAGGGGTTTTATTCTTTGCTACTTGTTTGAACTTGGTTTTATTATGTGCTATCTCTATGCATCATTTCATTGGCTTGAATCCTAATGATAGTTTTAACAATATATCCACTGAATCAATTGTCGTGTAGTGAGTTGACACACGTAAATCCCATTGATTCAGTTGCTGGGACTAACATTATGATTCAGGCCACTGTTTGTGTGTCTTGTATTCTCAATAAATAATGCACCAGACAGAGAAGTGTGGTTGTTGAATAGTTTAAAGATGAAAAAAATAAATATTTAAAAACATTTTGTAAAAATTGTATTCATTATTTTAACAGTGTATAGGAACAGGTTTCTAATTTGTTGCTTTTGTTAAGTGCCCTCAAGCTGACTCTGACATATGATGACCCTGGCGATTATTGCATGAGCCTTCTGTCTCATCGCAATCACATTATTTAATTTGGGAGTGTTCAATGTGGGACTTCTCTGGAATAGTGTGAAGGTGCTGTTTTGGGGATTGATGGTCCTGCATGTTTTTCATTGCTTAAAATCACCTCCTTGCCCTATGCCCTACCCAGTATGCCATTGGGTTTTTTAAAAACCCAATTGCAGAGTTATGGCAATGTGGTTTAATTATTTTTTTTTTTTTTTAAAAGAAAAGAAATAAAGGAATAAAGCTAAATGGACAGCCTGGAAATAGTGAGGGAGAGAGGAAGAGGAGGAGAATCATGCCCACTGACATCATGTGATTGCCCAATATTAGAACTGCAGAAGAAGGGATGTATCACAACTGAGGACTAATGAGAATGCAGGAATATTGGGAACTTATTGATGTTTTTTTTTCCTGTCCACACTTTAAAGGCAATGCAGCATGAACATTATGGGATATGTACAGCCAAAGACACTGTTCTCCAGCCTTAAGTTTGGTTTAAAAATCTCATGTGATAACATCCCCTATCATAGAGTTTTCTTGACAGAGGAGGGAGTGCATCATTCAAAGCCAGTTTTCATGGCTAAGTAGAGAGTCAAGCCCTGGTCAATGAGATGAATTGCATGTGGGTCAGCATGATAGAAATGGCTTAGGACATTCTGAAGAAAATAGAACAATACACGTTATCATATACAGATCAACAACACTATCAACCACATAAAATTATGTGACTTTGTCACCAGTAGTCAGTGTAATTATAAACAACAATGCTAAACATCTTTTCTGTGTTTTGGATTTCCAGGGCATTGCTAAATCTGTCCGTAGAACTGTCTGAGTGAGCCATAAAGAAGGATCATTGCCCCAGCTTTCTACAGCTCTCACAGCAAAGGGACTCACAACATTGTCTCCACATCTTCTCCACATTGTTCCTTCTGCCAGTTAGTTTTCATTACAGGGAAGAAAAATCAGGAAAGATCTAGAGAGAAAAAGGTCTAACCATGTTATTTCAGCTGGAATTGGGAGGGGGTGGGTGTATAATAAAAATGCCCTGGAAAGGCAAGTCCTGAGAATTCACATTGCAATCATGTTAAGCATGTGAAATATTTTTACTAGGGCAGGTTTGTTTTTATTCCCTGTTTTAGATTTTAAAAGAGCATGGTTGAACCAAATAAAATACAGAGTATCCCAGAGTGTTAACACTGATAGACCACACTCATGGATACATTCTTTGGTTGTTTAAAACTTTGTAAGGATGAAGGAAAAACTTTGCCTGCTAATCAAGGTTAAGTTGGGCCAAAATCCTTGGCTGATGGCAATTTGGAGGAGAATACAAATTGGTTCAGATGAGGAAGAATCAATTCCCTGTTTGTCTGAAAGGGCTTTTGAGTAGTCAATACTATGTGTATGTTTAGTGATTCTACACAAGTGTAGGAAATGTTTAGGATCTAGTATTGGATATAGAATGCAGCATTCAAATGATTGTATTAAATTGATAGTTCTCCACCAGGGGAGGAAGGAGTGGGATTAGGGGAAGTTCTCCATGAGGATATGATAACAGATGAAGTATATGAAAAGTAGGGATTAGTAGGTAAAGAAAGTCACAGAGCAGAGGGAAGACAGAAAAACACTGACAGGTAGGAAGTGATATGGTATGAATGTGAGAATATCATGTTTGTAGGGTGTGTGGAGAGTTAAAAGGGTGGAAGAAGGAAAAGGAAGGGTATGAAGGAAGAAATGTAAGTGT